AGCGGCGTTGCAGCTTCCTTCGTTGAGAACCCTTGGTTTAAGAAGGCGATCGAGAAGCTGCAAACTGGTCTCGTGGGCCAGTCTCCGTTCAAGCTCCCGGGCAGAAAAGACATCGCGCGGATGCAGTCCTTCGAATCGCAGGCAGCGCAGAAGCAGATCAGGTCCTGGGTGGCAGCGGTGGAGCACGTGACACTGGCTGTAGACGGGCGTCGCATGTCCGAGGGACGAGACAAGGAGAGCATGCTGAACACGGCAGCTTCTCGATGTAGCTGGATTTCGCGAGCGAGTGTTGTGCAGTTGTGTCTGTTTGGTCAGGTCAAGACTTGCTCCGTCTGTACGTTTTGAGTCCTCGAAACATCCCTAAAACAACTGCACTTGATCTCAAGTGGAAGGGAAGCCAGTCTTGGTCTGTCATTGGAATGCGTGTTTAAGTCAGAGGACATCATCTCTGAAATCGGGGGTGCCAAACAACACAAGACAGTAAGACTGAGCAGTTTGGTCAGTAAATGCAGCGACATGAAATGGCATTCGGAATAGCAGTTCTAGGGCTCCCAAAGTCTTGCTCACATGCAGAACAGCTATCGGAAATATCTGTCGGAACATTCCACAACCATGAAAAAGCCCGCAACGTGCAGATGAGTCGTCCCTTAGAGTTTAAGGCATCCAAAACTGAACCATAATGGTGCTTCCGCCACGCTTGCACAAAATCGGGGGTTCATTGAAACTTTCACTGCGTTTTACAGGTCTGAAATCCCATATTGCAACGCGCCTGGGCGGTAAAGCACGCAAATGCAGAGGGGAACCTTCATACACCCGTGTTGTTCCAGTGTTTGGGTAGTCCGAAACTCGAGCACGCAGCCACAGAACACGCACACACGGCCTCCTTAAGAGTATCGCTCTTCTGCCCTGGCGATTCTGGCCAAAGCCTGGAATACTGTTCTGAGGTGTGCGTTAAACTTCGTGTTACAGCGTTATATGTGCTCGTGTAGCCTGGCTTTCATGTCAGGTTGTTGCTGCTGGCGCAGAGCATTTCCTGCGCTCTGAAGACATGTCGGCGGTGGTCAAAGATGCTGACCATGTCGCAGAGTATGTTGAGGCGATTTTTGCCGAGGTCGAAAGCCCCCTGGCCGTTCACCCGTCACCCTCCATATCCACGCGGCACGTGGCTGCTGTCTGCATGGATTCGCCGAATGTGAACAAGGCCGCCCTGAAAAAACTGCAGGATAAGTATGCCAAGATCGCCTTCTTGCCATGTGCCTTTCATGCCATCGACGGCCTCTTTGGGAAGATGGTCAAGGACATCACCGTGCTGTCTCATGCCTGCCGCGTTGCCCGGCGTGTGACTAGGTTTGTCAGCAACAAGTCCCGTGTGCGTGCTGCGGTTCGCAAGTTGGCAGTGAAGCATGCCGTGCGCAAGACCCGACAAGCTGGCAGAAAGATTCATGCCGTCTTCTACACCAAGGTTCGCAAGACACGGGAGTTCCCACAATACTTACAGGTGAAACGCGCCTATCAGCTCAATTTCCCTGCCTACAAGTACTTTCAGCGTGAAGGCAAGGAAATCTGTCGCCAGATGAAGCGCTGGGAAGAGGTGCAGGCCGCCACGGTCACTCAGAGAAATGCATTCGTTGCGGTCGCAAAGTTTTTCTTGGCGATCATGCGGCCCGTCATTCAGAAGCTCCGCGTGGTGGACTCCACAAAGGTCAACTGCATGCCGCAGCTCATTGTCCACTTGTGCGACTTGCGGCAGACCCTGCACGACAAGTTCGTGGAGCTCGGCTACGCATACAGACTCATTCGCGCCCGCGATGGTGTCGACGTGGAGAAGGCTCGTCCTTCCTGCCCAAAACGCAACCGTCAAGCTATGTTTCAACACATTCAAAGATACGGGCAGCAATGCTGCGCAGGTAATGGAGCCCTGAGTTACGCACCGTGCAATGTAAATCCGACTGAATGCCAGCATGCTGAATCAAGCTTTCAGGTGTTTGAAACATGATGACACAGTGCATCTCCTGCCCAGGAGATTCAGACAGACTTGAAGCGCATCCACAACATTTGCAACGAAGTCATGCGCCCCTTGACGACACGCTGGCATCGAGCTGCCATGCTTGCGGATCCTCACCATGTCGAGGAGTATGCCAAGGAGAAACAAGCTCGGGGATGCCTGCAGCTCGAGGCCGGCCAGTGCGTCACATACTTTTAGACTTTTAGGGGTCTGGAACATTTATAAAGGACGATATCCGGCACTGAAGCCTGTTATGACCTTCTGCAGCCGTCTTGGACCTCGGACACCCTTGGAAAGCGCTCTTCTGCTCACTCGTGCCATGCCGACCAATAAGCGACCGGCTGCAGCTGTCTCTGCGCAGGAGTCTTGTCCACGAAATCTACTTCTGACCGTCTCAAACCTGTAAACGAGTGGTAAATGTTCGTCTCTCTCCTACTGGCAGTGTTTGAGCAAGATTTTCAACCAAGCTTGAACCTTTGGGCGGTTTGGACCTCCTGAAACTTGATTCCGAACGCTTGAAAAAAGATCAGCGGTCTAAATCGATGCAGAGGTTGGCCCGGATAAAGTTCCAGTTTCAGCACCCTCAAAATCAATATTCTTGGGGAGTAGTCTAACACGCCAAACCCCAGAAGCCTCAAGTCTCAACCCTAAACCCTTCGCCCGCCACGTCAGGTTCAGGTCAGCGGGGGAGGCGCCGTGCCTGCCCCCGCTGTCGTTTTGCGTTCGCGTCCCTAAGACCCTAATGCCCAGCCCAGCCAGTGATTATTTTTTTCGGAGAAGGCTGGTGAGTAGAAGACACCAAGTCCTAAGTTCCAGGACAGGGTGTCGCCGAAGACTCCGAAGCCGAGCCCGGCCAAGGCCAAGGCCGATCGTTTTTGTCTGCGGAATCAACTTCGGACCGTCTCAAACCTGTAGACAGGTTCTAAATGTTTGTATTTCTCAAGCTGCCACTTTTGCACTGTCTGCGCGTGATAGAAGCTGCCTCGGATAAAGGAATAAGAGTCCGCCGGTTTAGGACGAGATGAAAGTTTCAGCACCCTGAAAAGCAGTATTCAGACAGCGCTGTGGGGTCTACTCCAAAACACAAAAGCCTAGAAGCCTTAAACCCTTCACCCGCCACGTCGCCTGGCCTGCCCCCGCTGTCGTTTTGCGTT